TGAAGAAAGACAGAGTGAGGTAGAATTTGTATGTTGCAAGAAGGAAAATTTCCTTGGAAGAAGAAGGTCCCCACCTAAAGCCTCCAGGGGCTAGAGAAAGCATCACATGGTGGGGGAAATAAAGAATAAAAAATTCAGTGACTGAGGGCATGATAAATTATAACTGCAGAAATAAACAGGGGCCACGTCATTTTGTCTGGAATCTTCAAATCCCTCTTTAATTACTGCCTGTTCCATGGGACCGTACTTTTTCAGCCACAAGAGCCCCTTGATCTCTAAATTGTCATGGCACTTAACCATTCTCCTCTCAAGGTACTTATCTCATTTTAAGTATAACATCATTGTTTCTGTTTTTAAAAAATTCATACAATTTTTCTGTATTTTCTAAATTCCTTAAGAGGAGAGATTATGCCTGAATGTCTTTTTTTCTCTATTGCTTGCAGTAGATGATTAATAATTACAGAATTAATGAATAGACAGTAAATCAATTTAGTAGATACTTTATAAAAAGGAAGATAAGGAAAGTTACTCATATTCATTCTTCCTGAGCACAGCAGGAAAGAGAACTCTGGTGTATAGATAGAAGTATTATTCCTTTGAATGTCTAATGACATCTTCCAAGGAGCTCTTGTGTTCTCTATTATAAAATTCCACATCTATAAAACTGATGGAACGTAGATTCCTTTGAGATACATGTTTTAACAGAATGTAGTATATTACTTCTTTAATACAGTAGACAACATGCAAATTACATTGCATTATAATATAGTGATCGCCCAAGCCCAGTAGGTCTTAATAAAAAATACATTTGTATAATGTACTTTCTTTGAGTATTTACATTTAATAAATATTCTTTTCAAATCTGTTCAGTGAGTATAATGGATGGAGATGAAGCTGCTTTATGACGCCTTCTTTGAAGGTACCTTTGGGAACCCTCTTTTGTAGTTCATATTTGAATTGTGTACTATTTCAGAAATGTAAATGTTTTCTGCTGAGTTCTTGTAACATACAGTATTTAAAGCAGTCTTCTAGAGTGTTTCTGCTGACCTACCCAAAACAAGTGTTGATAATTTATTATGATTGCACAAAATGCTGATGGTGTATTATCATTATCATTATTGTGCTTTATTCATTTAAGTGTCAATGTTTTGTACCTTTTAGCTATTGATAAATATTTTGTTGGAAGTATTCCAGTTCCCCAACATAGAGAGAAATATGATTAGCCAAAATCTCTAAAGATATTGAGAGAGAACTGAGTACATATTACTATAGCTATTATAATTTAAAAACATTTGAAGTTTTTATATACATTTCAATTTGTATTATCTGTTTATTTAGTTTATCAATTATGTATCTTATAACAAATTAACTCAAAACTCAGTGGCTTAAAATAATATTTATTACCTTAAGATTTCTGTGGGCCACTGATCCAAGCAAGGCTTAGCAGGGTCCTGTGGCTCAGTCTCTCACAGACCTGTAATCAAGGGGTCAACTGGCTGGGCTTGACTGGAGAAGGATCTCCTTCCAAGCTCACTTGCGTGGTTATTGGCAAGATTCATTTCCTTGCTGGCTGCTGGCCAGAGCCTCCTTCACTCTTTGCCTTGTGAGCTCCTGAACACGGCAACATACAACATGGCTGCTGGCTTCAATGGACCTAAAAAGCCAGGGAGGGAGGAAGGGACAGAGGGAGATAGGGTGGGAAAGTGAGCAAGCTGTACTTTGAGACAATTTGCATTTCTGTATATAAATGTTGGAGATTGATATAATTACTAAATGTCAGGATAACCAAAGACCCATGTTATAATGAATATATGAAATTGAGAAGTTTAGACTCTTATGGGTGATAGCAAGTTTCTGAATTACTGGGCTGTATGGTAATGGCTAAATTGTTTTCCAAAGTGTTTATACTATTTTACATTCCAGTAGCTGTGAATGAGAGTTATTGTTGCCGCACATCCCCATCAACACTTGACATTCAAGTATTTTTAAACTTTAGCCATTTTAAGTAATGTGTGGTGGTATCACTTCATAGTTTTTAACTTGTCATTTTTCTGATTATGAATGATGTTGATGTTTCTACCTGCTACCTGGACATGGCATATATTCTTTTATGAATTTCCTGATCGAACCTTTGGTATGACTGACAATATATGTATGGATTTATTTCTGGGCTCTTCAGTTCTGTAATAACTGTTTTATCCAGATAAGCTTATTCCAGCATCTCTACATTTCCATTCTATTGATTGATTTTACCACTGACTGTAGGTCTTTGTATTTTTTGTCATATCAGCAACTTTTTCTGACAGGCAGTTAAGTTAGTCCTTTAATGCCTATTTTAAAGCTTTGAAAGGTTAGAGTAGCTTTTTGATAGATTCAAAGTAGCCTTTATTCTGTGTCTTGTTTGGCACCATTATTAAGGTGTAACACTACAGCAGTCCCCACTGAAATCTCCACATGTATACTGTGGCTTCTCCCCTCTGGCTGGCCATAATTTGAACCTGGTATAGGAGAACTTCTACTTGGAGAGTTGTAGTTGTCCTTTGCCTGACCTTGTGCACCCCTCCCCACACCCCAGCTTGTTGTCTTAGTGTTCACCCACCGGCTTAATAATACAACTCCTTGCAAATGTGTGGAACTTCTTCAGTCTCTGGTACTTCTTCTCTACTCTGCTTTACAGATTCTACCTATCATTTCCTTCTTGAAGTCTGTTTTTTTCCCCCCAGTTTAGCAAGACTTCATTTCTCTACTTGGATTATTCCTTTTTGTACTACTGTTCAAAAATGACTTTTAACAGAAATGTGGGGTAATCTGAGAGTTTATTTCTCTTCTTTCAGAGATTGCAGTACTGCATTGCCTGTTAAACATCTGAAAACCATTTTCGCATACATTTTATTCTATTTTCTTGTTATTTACAGTGATCCTGTTACTGCATCGGGGCCATCATCAAGACGTTTTTAAAAATTAAATTTCTATTCTGTGTGACTTTTTGTGTATCAGGGTTCATGTGGGCCAGGGATGTAGCTCATGCCTGCCTGGCAAGCACAAGGCCCTGAGTTTGATTCCTGGTGCCAGAAAAAAAGAGGTTCATGTATTTCTGTATTAAAGATATCTTTCAGGACGGGGATTTAGCTCAGTGGTTCCGCCGCCTGCCTTGCAAGCGCAGGGTCCTGAATTCAATCCCTGGTACCAAAAATGAAAGAAAAAAAAAGATATCTTTCTATTTGTTCTAAGTACTTGGTGTTTTGAGGGGATACTCAGGCATAGTCTTGTGCTGCAGACAAATTTGTAAGTCATTAGTACTATAGCTTTTACCTCTTTATTTTACATTTACTTTAAAATATATGGATTACTGAATACAACATATAGAAAAGCACATTGTTTAAAATATATAAATTGAATAAATCATTTTAAAGTAAATAACAGTGTAATCATGACAAATGAAAGAAACAAAAGATCATGAGCCCCCAAGAAGCCTCCTTTATGAGATGTTCTCACTGCTGAGAGACAGCCCCAGTCATTTATAGCAGAGATCTAGCACACATACATGGGGGGAGCGGTCCCATAACCAGCCTGCACCAGCCTTCTTGTGCATTCACAAGCATTGCATGTTCCTTTGTGAGCACCATTGTGCACCAGTGATAGACACCAATGCACCCCAGCTCTTTGGCCCAACATATCACAAACAAGTACACCTGTCTATTATAAAATAAAATGGCTGGCGTGATCTTTGTTCTTCTGCTTCCATTTTTGTTTTTCTTTGTGTTGGTAGCTTGTACTATAGCATTACCACACAGTGAAGAATGAGTTGTAACTTTATAAAACTAACATACACTGTTGTGGAGAACTGCAGTCAGAGAGCAGTCTCACAGCAGAGACAACTGGAGAAGCTTCAGCGAGGATGGAGTGTGTGAGCTTCGGTGTAGAGAAGTGGTTCTCAGACCTGACTGTTCACTGGAGACATTTAAGGAACTTTTAAACCTACCAAAGCCTGGTTTCACATACAGAGATTCTAATTGTTTGGGGATTTTTTTTTTTTTTGATACTGGGGATTGAACCCAGGGCCTTTATACTGAACTATATTGCTAGCTCTATTTTATTTTTTATATTGAGACAGGGTATTGCTAAATTGCCCAGGCTGGGCTTGAACTTGGTATCCTCCTGCCTCAACCTCCCACAATGCTGGGATGGTAAGTGTTTGCCATCACTCCCAGTTTATTCTGGGAATATTTATAGGGTCTTTAGGTGATTCAGGTGTGCAGAAGTATAGAACCTTAGGCTAGACAAGCATTCTCCTTAAATGAAGAACAAGTTTTTGTTGTTTTTTGTTTGTTTGAAATTTCCAATGTACCATGAACTGACTGATATTTTGGTAAAATACAATGAAAATGAGTTAGTAGAGAAATAAGAAACCGATGTGAAGGGGAAACCCTAATGTTATTAGATTCAACAGATGTACAATAACTGAATAAAGTTGCTATTAAGATGTCAAAATATTTCCTCTTGATGTCCATGCTTATTGGCATGGATGTTAAACTGAGTTTATGGCTGGTGGTCTGCAGACCAGACTTGAAGTAGCAGTGATGTTGAAGGCAACATAGAAGACTCCTATTGCAAGAGAAGGAAGCGTGAGCCATGGGAGGAGAGGCAGGGCTCAGAGCGGAAGGCCTTGAATTCCGGGGCAAATAGCTTGGCTTTTATTCTGTAGGCATTGGGGAGCCAGAAAATTCTCAGAAGGATGATCTGATCATCAGCAGCTGTATGATGAATTTATAGTGGAAACACGTTGTTGACGAGGGCCTGAAAATTCAGGGGGTTAGGGCTGGGGACTAGGTAAAGTAAAACAAAAACTGTATCAAATGTGTAGAGAAGTCACTCTACAAATGTTAATAAACTCTTTATAGGATGCAAGAATTTAAGCTAGCTAGTCTCTCAAGTTTAAATTATCTCTAAAGCACAATTAAAAGCTAAAACAAGACAAAACTTATCTAATATATTTTCAGAAACCACGCAAATAGAAGATCCAAGAAAACAATGGCGAGGGGAACAGGAGAAAATGCTCAAGGACTATCTCTCAGTGGCTCAGGATGCACTCAGGACACAGAAGGAGCTGTACCATGTGAAGGAGCAAAGACTGGCTTTGGCCCTAGATGAATACGAACGCTTAAATGATGCCTATAAGGAAAAGTCAAGTTCTCACACAAGCCGTAAGTACAGTGTGTTTGTTGAGACTCTAGAAGTAGAGATGGGTGCTCACTTTGGCAGCACATACACTAAAATTGGAGGAAGTAGAAATGGGATTATAGATAAAAAAAGGCTGTTTGCACTTCTGTGGAGTTTAGCCATGAGAGGTGAGGGAACCTTACAGATTTCTCAGTAAAACCCCTCATCCATAGTCCAGATAAAAATCTCCCCATTTGGGGAGGATGCATATCTTCTGCTTTTGCATTTGTCACTGCCTGATTGCCTTTTGTTCATTTATGAATTATTTTTTAGCTTTTCAGAATAAGCCAAGTGATTTGACCCTTTTTGCTACTCTTGTACATTTTTTTTAATGCGTAGAGACTGGAACTATTAGAACAAAGTTAGTGTTGCCTGCTGCTCCCCACCTTGAGTTGACTGATTTCTTCCTCATCTCAACCATTGATAATCTGGAGCTGATCTTGTTTATAGAAGCAGCTATGATGGGCTGGAAAGTTGTATTTAAATTATAAGTTCCTGGATAATGCAAAGTCCTGATAAGCTGCATCTGTACTAAAATTCTCTGAGGACATAGTATATGTAAAATACAAGAAGAAATTTATGACATTCCTTTTTCCTGAATGTTTAAAAAAATTAGAAGTTTGAAAAGTACTTTTATACTTAGATGTCTGACCACAAAGTTATTGTAAAAGAAAGCAATATCCATAGAAGAATATGAATCTTACTTTTATAGAGTCAGTAAATTCTTGTGCTCACTTCAGCAGCACATATTCTAGAGTCAGTAAATTTTAAGTTAAAACTAGTTCTGCAACTGTAAAATAATTAAAACATTTTTTTCTCTTTCAAAAGTATTCTCAGGATCTTCATCCAGCACTAAGTATGATCCTGATATCTTAAAAGCCGAGATCTCTACTACACGATTAAGGGTAAGATTGCTTTTATTGTGGTTCTGCATTGACTACATGCATAGAATCTGAAGGCCGTGAGTGGATATCTCATGTTTCTATTCTGTGCAAGAAACCTCTACTTATTCCTTCTGGATGGTCTTTTCTCTCTTTGTTTGAACAAGTTCAATGTTTGGGATTGCCTTTGTTATTGAGACAAAATATATTCTATTATTGGGTTTTTGTTGTTGTTGCTAGCAGTTAGAGTAATATTAAAGCAAAATTTGAATATTAATACCTTACTTTTCCTCAACGTGTTAGTTTTGTCCTGGATAGTTAAACCGGCTTGCTCTTTTGTCAGCCAACTCTTTATTTAAAGGTGGTTACAATTTGTGTCACCATATCATTCCTTTTTTAAGTCAAACTGTGAGTTGTCCATAATTCCTCATATATATTGGTTTGTGATCTTTTTCCAAATCTTTTTGATCCAACTGTGTTAAGGCCAGAGCTTATTTATCCTTCATTTTAAGGGTCTCATATATTGTTCACCATGAAAATTAACTCATGTAATAATGCCAGCGTCATAAGATAGATTGTTACCATGACTGCATACGCCTCCATGTGTCCCTTTATTGTTATTACTCATCATCCTCCTACTTAAAGCAGTACTAGCTTTATTAACATTGTAGGTTAATTTTTTCCTTTAACTTTGTAAAACTGTAATGCATGCATTATTTGATGGCTTTTTTTTGTTTGTTTTTTTGAGACAGGGTCTTGCTGTGTAGTTAAGTTGGCCTTGAACTCACTGTGTTGCCTAGGTTGACCTTGAACTCATGGTAATCTTCCTGCCACAGCCTCCCAAATGCTAAGATTGTAGCCATGCACCACCATACACAATTTAATGCCTTCTTTTGATTAAGAACATTTCAAGATTCACACACATTCGTTTTTATTACAATTAGCATTCTGCTTTGGTGTACATACCATAAGTTCTTTATCTTTTCTACCATTAAAGTATATTAGAGTTAATTCCAATTTCTGATTATTAAAAATTATGCCACAGGGGCCGGGGATTTAGCTCAGCCGTTTCACTGCGCAAGCGCAAGGACCCGAGTTCGATCCCCGGTACCAAAAAAATTATGCCACAATGTACATGTCTGTTATGCATGTCTTTTTGGTGCATATCATATACATATTGTTGATAAAGGAGTGGAATTGCTATATCAAAAATATACATATTTTAATGGATACTGCCAATCAGCCCTTATTAATGTCTGCACTTTGGCTTGGAATTACTCGATACACACGGCTTTTGCTTATCATTTTGTATTTTTAATATAATTTCCAAATACCTATTATATTTATGATTTTTCATATAAGTATATTGTTTAATTTTCAAAGTTAGAGATTTTATCTTTTATTACTGATTTCAGCTCATTCCATTTATATTTTTCAGTTTAAAAGTTTCTACTTATTTTTGGTTTCTAGTTATTCACCCAGATCTGCACATTGATATGTAATTTTTTGATCAAAATAATCATAATATTTTTAAACTCCATTAATATAATATTTAGATTTATTATATTGGATTCTTTGTTCTAGTCTGTTTTTTTCTCTTGGTTTTATGTCAATTCTTAACCCTTACAGTTGCTTACTTTTTCTTAAGAGCCATATGGTATATATGGAAAAGTATAAAGAGAATTTGAGTCTTTGGATGATCTTGTCATCTATCAGGGAGCGTTTAGTTTTGCTTCCTATAGGCAGGCCAGTGACAGAATTTTAATCCAATCAGAGTTGGGACTGACTAAAATATGGACTTCAATCTTTTTCCAAGGGTGTGTCTATTTTCAGATTTAAAATGCTGTGTTAACTTGTGGGATTTTTATCAGGGCCCCTCGTGCTTGATTGAGGGTGTGCTTCAAGTGCCTTTCTTTTTGCTTCCCAGCTCTCTGGGACTGTCAATAGTTTGTAGCTCACGCTGTCGGTTATTCATACTTTCTCCTGCTTTTCAACTTATTGAATATGCAAACACCTCAGAAGGGAAGCCAGTGCTGCATTTAGATTATGATTCTGAGCTTCCTTTATCTTTTAGATCTTTAACATAAATTCTTGCAGTTAGTAGTTCTCCAGTATCTATAAATTGATGTTTGTGGACCCCTCCCATTTTTTGTCACAACTTTTCTATTTATTTTCAGAAAAAGAGCATGAAAAAGGTTTATGTAGAGGCTGGGGGTATAGTTCAGAGGTAGAGTGTGTGTTTAGCATGCACTAAAACAAGCAAAACAAAACAAAAACAAAAAAAACTTAGATACATTTACTGGAAGTAAAGTCTTCAATTTGGATTTTTTGGTTTAATCTATGAAGTCATTTATAGAAATGATCTGTGTCTCAATTGTAAATGACCTCTGGGGTGTCATGGACCTTTTACTCTGTTCATCCACTCTTATTTCTCTGTAGATTTCTTAGGATCACCATGTGGTAGTTTGTCAGATGCTTTGGTACTGTATCTCTGTGCCATGCCTGAACATTTCTGTGAACGCTAGACTAGATACCTTATCTTTAAAAAAGGAAACGAAGGCATTTTTGTTCAAAACCTCCTCAATAAACACCAATACTCACTTGAGCTTTACACTTCTCAGGAAGTTATTACTTATTATTTCTGCCCTTTGAAATGTTAACCATTTTTCATAGTTCTTATCTTTGGAAAGCACATTGTGAATGGCATAACCATAGTAGCCTATTGTAGTCTATCCATTTAAATTCCTTGTAGAAAATATGCAAACTGAGGAAGAGATTTTAAAACAAAAACATATTAAGATGTCTTCGACAAATAACTGTGTAGAAGGAAAGAGAGCCTCGTGTCAATCAGGGAAATCACAGGAGAACCCAAGTGGTCACATTCCCCATAACTCTTCTCACATAGCAGAGTCTGAGACAAAGCTTATTCTATATGAGGCTTAATTTGCTCTTAATACTAAAAGTCTATATTTTATCAAATCACATATGTAATTCATTACTCTGTGACCAAAAGATGAGTCAGAGTGCTCTACCTTTCTCATGAAAGAGCTTCTCTCAATAGGATGTCAGACATTCATATGTAACTATAGTAAAAGGTCAGAAGTGCTTGTTTAAAACTTTGGGGAAGTGAAAATGCCTGGTAGAACTGCTCTTGTAGCAATCTGGCCTTGTAGCTTATATTGCTGTGTGATGTTTCCAGCTGGTTCACACTCTAAAAGCTAAGGGTTGCCTCTGCTGTCTGTACACATTTTGGCCAGGTAGCACTTTCAGAAGTGGATGGGTAGCATGGTAGAAAATCTTGGATTTTGATAACCTTTTTGTCTGGCTTACCCAGTTACAATTCCTTTGTATGAAAATTCCTTTCACGGATTAATGTCATCAATTTCACAGTAATTCCTGAATGAATTAACTCTTCCTTGCTTTGGTGACTCTGTGTACTTGCCTGAATTTTTGGTCACAGTAACAATTTTTTTTTCCAGGAAAGTCAAACACTAGTTTCATACTTTATTATTTTGATGTAAAGCACTGACTTTTCCCAAAGGCAAAGCACTGACTTTTCCCAAAGTCAAGTCTTTGGGAACTGAGTATTTAGGAACATCTGTCTAAAACATTTTTCATATTATTTTATATTGTGGTATAGGTAGTGTCCTCCTCAGTCAAATGAGATGACATTATTTCCTGATATCTTATTTCTATGTGTTGAAATGGTGAAATAAATAAATTAATGTTTTTATTAAGATATTCATAATTTTTTAGTTATTTTTTTGCTTTTATATTTTATTTTTTATTAGTCTAATGCATCATTTGTTTGGAGGGATTAGTATATGAAGATAGCATATGTTTGTATTTTATTTTTTAGATTAATTTTATTGGTACATTTTAGATATACATAAATGGTATCATTTTGAATTATTTTTAGTATTATTTGGTATTATTTAGTATATTTAGTATTATTTAGAATTATTTTTCATAGAAGTGATAAACTTAGAAAAGTCAGTCTCATCTGTTATCTTAGGTATAGATTTAAAAGAATAGTAGTTGAACTTAAGATTTGGTTTATAACTGTGAATAGAGTTAAAGTAGTTAATCATGTGCATGTCAAAGTGTTACATTTAACCAATGATATAGTTAATGTAGCAAAAGCCATATCAATGTGCTTCAAGTGAAAAGAAATATTCTTCCTGGGAATATACAGCATATTACTACTACAAATAAGGATTGTCTCTTGACTACATATGAATGCTATCTTTACAGTTACATTATGAGTTCTTTCAGCTGTGACTTTATTTCAGAGTGGTGAAGGAGAAAGCAGCACTAATTGGAAACACCAAAGTTTGCAGTATTAGTGGTTTATTCTTCTCTTATGATATTTGGAAATGAATTTGTATTGTAGATGGTGTTGGTTAAAAATAGTACAACAATCTTAGTGAATTTAGAGTGAAATTAAAAATGATGATTCACATTAACTAAAAATGTGAAAAATTGAAAGAAAATGAGAGGTATATACTATTTAATATAAGTACTGATATTAACTATTATAGTATGCTAATAACTTCAAATAATTAAATTTTATAGCATGGTAATGTGTTTTTTTCCTTCAAAAGCATAGTTGGGCACATTTATGGATTTCATAGTATTTTGCTTCTTCTATCTAATGATTTTGGCTGCCTTTTCTAACTTTGAAGAATACTGTACTACAAACTAAATAATATAGACTTTAAAAGAAATCCTTCATTTTCACTGTTACTGAAAAGATATTCAGTTTCTCCTCACTTGTATAAGCCATTGTATCAATCTTTTCATAAGTGATCAATTTTAAATGATTTTATAAAGCTTGAACAAATGAGTTCAAGCAGGAATAGGAAAAGCTGAAAAATAAGAGTAAACAAGGAAGAATTATCTTTAAAATATTTTATTATGGTAACTATGAAACCTTATATATGAGTAGAGAGAATAGTATAATTGTCTTTCATATTTCCATTATATCCCTCAAAATTTTTGTGTTTTTATTTATTGTCCACCCC